CTTTCCCTGCAGATGCTCATATACACATACAAACACACACACCCTTCGAAACACAGTCTATTCATCAAACAGCATACAGACTGAGAGCAGGAGATTGCATCTGATCCTTCCATTATATCTGAACGTAATAGCAGTGCTGTCACTCACAAAACCGAACCAGACACACATTCTCTCGCCACTAATGTGCATAAAATCATCTGAATTCTTGGCATGTTACAGTGAACAAAACTTTCAGAAATCTCCTACAGTAATTTTGGCCCTTAGCTTTTCTAGAGGTCAACAGAGTACATAAAGTTGACCGCATATGCTACACACAAAACGTCTGTAAATGCAAGTTTTCGAGCCCTTTCTCAGATTACATTGGTATTGGTTGAGCGTGTTCCTGCTTTAGGAGCAGTTTGACCAAACATGTTCTCACAATGCGGCTCCCACCCAAGCCAAGCAACTCTACACGCTCTATACTCCCTACCAGACCTAGAGGAAATGTCCAACTTTCCATAAAGACATCAGGCCAAAATAAAAAAGGCTTTTTCTTTTCCAGCTCCCACACTCTCACTTTCATGCTTTCCCTTTCCTTCTCTATTTTTCTATTCTCTAATTTCACCTTTTTGCATTCTCCAAGTCTCAGACTTTGTCTCTCTCCTTTGGTCTGTCACCTCTCTATCCTTTCTACTCTGTCTCCATCCCTCCTATCCACCCACAGTCTGCTCTTTGACCTGAAAAGTACAAAACTGGAAAGCGCTTTCTCAAATTGGCAAGTTCTAATCTGATTGGCTGACATGCACATTTTCTTCTCAGTGCGTCTGAAAACAAAGTCATGTTTACAAGGTATTGAGTTGATACAATGAATACTTTTGAGGAAATAATCACTGGATTGGCCAAAGTTTGCAAGATTATTGCTTTAACGACTAAAACCATTTCATTTTAAATGCTACAAGGAAATGTATGCATCACAGTGATTACTTTTAACATTGTTATTCAATTATTAGTATTTTTAAAGCTTAACTTCAAGTGTTTTTAGATGACAGCAGAGTAATATACAGTATTCACTACCGTTTAAAGGGATAGTTCACCCAAAAATGAAATTCTGTCATTAATTACTCACCCTCATGTCGTACCACACGGATACGTTGTTTTTGTTCAAATCAAAGCACAAACAACGTAGAAAACATTTCCGTGTTGTGCGGCTGGCACAGAACAACATACGCTGTTCGTAAAAATGTTCATTTTTGGGTGAACTAACCCTTTAAAGGTTTGGGGTCAGTAAGGTGTTTTTACCAAGGCTGCATTTATCTGATCAAAAATACAGTAAAAACAGTAAAATTGTGAAATATTATTACAATTTGAAATAACTGTTGTCTATCTGGATATATTTTAACATGTAATTTATTTCTGTGATGGCAAAGCTGAAATTTCAGAAGCCATTACTCTAGTCATTAGTGTCACATTCTTTTTTCTTAATATTTTTTGTATAAACTTAATATTTTTAATAAAATGTGATACTTTTTTCAGGATTCTTTGATGAATAGAAAAATCAAAAGAACAGCATTTATTCAAAAATATATTTTTTGTAACGTTATATGTCTTTAATGTTACTTCTGATAAATTAAATGCATCCTTGCTCAATAAAAGTATTAAATCTATTTCAAAAATATATATCTTAACCATCCTAAACTTTTGATCCATCACACATATATACATGTTATTTTATTATAACCACATGTATACAAAAAAAAATGTGAAAGAGAAACCTCAACCAACAACCAATACAGAAGCAATATAATGTGCATTCTGAAACTTTTAACAGGCAGAAATTAGTTTTTTGCCCATTTAGTCAGAGGTGTGTTTGAAAGACTACTTTGAAAAGCATGAATGAAGCCTTCAGTCATGGCAGTTACAGGAAAAGTTAAAGCACTTCATTTTCAGACCCATTCACTGTTGTTTTGTTCTCTTCCACTCTATTTATCTTTAGTCGCAAAGTCTTGACCTGCACAGTCCATTATTCTCTTTTGTTTTCACCATCTCTTTCTCAGACCCTCCCCCATCTGTTTCTCTCTAATTGCATGCACAGCACATAAAACAGAACCAGACTGTTTTCTTTTCACATAGTATGTCTCATTGCATCCCTCTTGCTCACTCTCTCTTTCTCACAAAGTGTGTATATGTCTGGAATCTGGATTGTAGGAATGTGAGCTGAAGACATTCCTCTTCGGATTGGCCGAAAAGACATCACCATCAAATGGGATTACCATTAGGGAAAGTGAGAGAGAGAAACGGGAGGGGTACAAGCAGAAGAGAAATAAGCCCTAAACAAGGCAAACGGAGCGACGAAGAGAGGTCGGGTCCAAACCAGTCTCTGCTGGCAATAAAACAGTTAGTACAATGGCCTTTATGAACCTAAACTCCACTAAGCAAACCATCAATTAATGGTGTTACTGCTGCCTTGAGTGAAGTGCCAAACCATACACACATTAGTGCTAAACATTCAACCGTTTAAACTTTGGAACACAAGTGCAAAAGACAAAGCCACTAACATAACATCTTTTCCAGATATTTTGGAGGCTTTGAGTTTGAATAACCTACTTTTCTTGCCAAAATCCTGTGCAAAACTGTGCTAACTAACAGTATTTTTACTGAGCAGAGGATTTCTGATTTGTTTTCGGTTCCTCTTAATTTATTCTATTCTTGTAACTCTAATTCTTTCTTTTAGTCTTCAAGTATATCACTTTACTATCAGATATCCTCTATTTTCTTTTATTCTCATATACTGTATACACATCACATCAGTAGATTATTGTTCTCTCTCTCTCTCGTTATTCTCTTCTGTTGTTGTCAACTTTTTTCCCAATTAAATTCGGTTGCATGTAAATCATTCTGCCCTAAATATGAAAAAAGACAACAAAAAAAAAATCAGCACAATAAAAAGGTAATGCACATATCACTAAATACACAATAAAAAAAAAATCCATAACTAACGATTAAGTGTTAAATGGTTAGCCTACATTTCAACATGTCCTCTCACATATATCAGATCTGTATCAATGAACATAGATAAGTTACTTATTTATAAAATGACCTACATTCATCCATGAAAGTTACTCTAAATATAGAAGAAAATGTTTGTACCTTGTTTTTCACCTTGTTAAAGTTATTCCCGTCGCAAGTAGGTAATTCCTTACAGGTGTGTGTGTGTGTGTGTGTGTGTGAGGACTGCGGCGCTCTCTCAGCTGCTCTCGTCTTTATATTGAACGAGCAGACACGCGCTGAGTGACGCGGCATCCCGCTGTAGTGCTCTGCTCTGACTGCTGACTGCAGTCTGCGAGCTAGACTGACACAATAAAAGTCCGACAACTCAAGAACTTCCACAAGCTAGGACATGTTTTACAGTTTTTTAACGTTAGACAACACAACTAAATGATGGGGAGTTTCAGTGTTGAGATATGTTAATCAAAAATGCAAACAAATAATTCATATTTTGGAAAATACCTGCAAATAAAATCGAAAACAAATGTAAACTAAAATAAAATTTTGTGGATGTAATATAAAATGGAGAATCTGTTATTTTGTCATTTAAGGGCGTATTCACACTAGGCACGGTTGTCTTGTAATTACTGTTCATCAATAAGGTGAGAACCATATCCGTTATAAATCTAAATATACTCAAATTAATGGACAAGTGTACTGCCCAAGCAGGGGCGTAGTAGCTACGTGGTGGCCATGGGTGGCAGTGCCACCCCTCATTGAAGCTTGGCCACCCCTGTTGCGCAAACATTTTGACCGCATTATTAATAGCTGACTTTTCTCCGTTCAAATAACTGACACTGGCACAAATGCCACGTACACAGCTGAACTAAATTGTCACTTCACCTCTTACTAATGGAACAAATAATCCCCAAAATGCATAGCCTACAAGTGGTCATGGGCATGGCAACACTGAAAATGCACGCTTGGCGAAGCAGTTTTACAAGCATTAACAAATAGCTAAACACAGCAAACGCGAGCTCAACGAAAATTCATCAAGCGCATGTCTACATAGAAAAACAATGGAAAAGTAGCACAATGTAATGGGAAAAAAACCTTAAGGTTTAGCGCAACAAAATAAATATTGCATGGTTATACACGCTCCCTCACAGTATATCATTCAAATAAAGACATATCCTGTGATAGCACAAATAAATGCGCAGCCATCTGCATTCGTACTCTGTAGTAGGCTACAGAAAATATAAATGAACAAGCTGTTGTGCTTTATTACGGTGATGCATTGATGCCACACACATATTTTTTTCCACTCAGGTGTAATAACGAGATATGTCGTTTTAACGACATGTTTTCTCGTTAAAACGACATATTTTCTCGTAATAACGAGATGTTTTCTCGTTAAAACGACATCTTTTCTCGTTAAAACGACATCTTTTTTCTCGTAATAACGACATATTTTGTCATAAAAACGACATGTTTCCCGTTATTATAGATAGGCTATATGGTACATTATGTGAGCGAGCTAAGCGACTCCGCGCTGCTGTCGCCAGTCTGACATAAACGAGGATCTGCACGCTGCTGAAATTATTGAAATACACTGTTTTAAATGTATTTTAATGTAATGGTTTTAATTGTAGCGGCATGTTTATTAGGATTAATCTCCAATCTGTCTACAATATAGTGCTACAATAACTGCACTCAGACCCATGACTCGTTTAGGCTATGATCAGATCAAAACTGGGCTTAATATTTCCTTATTTGAATGACTGAAGTTTGATTTAACGAGAAAACATCTCGTTATTACGAGAAAAGATGTCGTTTTAACGAGAAAAGATGTAACATCTCGTTATGACGACATAACTGAGTGGAAAAAAAATATGTGTGTGGCATCAATGCGTCACCGTACTTAACTTTTGAGACTGTTACACATGAAAACACGCAACACACGGTAGACACGCGTTTGTGCAGCAGAGCGGCTCTCTCTCGCACTGTATGATGTGACAGACAACTGGTCCAGTCCGGTTCCGTTCACACAGCGCGGGTTTTCCGAGAATGCAGTTGTGAGTCCTGAAAATTTACGGGTGTGAGTTCAGTTACACAATACGCTCGTCACGCCCGTTAATAACCGTACTGTGAGTGAATGTAACCGTATTAAGGACTCAAATTCAGGACTGACAACCGTATTCTGCTGCTGTGTGAACGTGGCCAGACATTTATATGTACAAAACCAGCTATAAAAACTGAACAGAAACTATTCATGTCACAATTATGTAGCACATTATAATAAAATAAATCCAGATCGTTTAATATAAAACATCCAGAAAGAGTGAAATTTAAGCCACTTACATCACTCCTAATCCATGTGCTGGCCTTGGGTTATTCCTCTGCTGTTTAAACCTTCAAATCAAAACCCTAGATAACATCTGGCTCTTGGAAATGATATGAGTTTGTTTTAAAAACATCTTCTAAAGCATGTAAACTGAACACGCACTGGGAAGACTAAAATTAAATATTACATAATTGCACATGTTATTTTTGTTATACACTTCAAATTAAACAAAGTTAGAGTAAAGAACAAAAACACTGTCTAAACCTTGTAATTATTGTTGTTGTTTTAATCTTATATCATACAAGGCTTACTTTTTCCCATCATTCAGTCTCTTTGTTTAAATTTCAAAAGATTGTTTTAATCTGAGATTGTTTATTCATATAAATCTGTATATCTTGCACACAGATTACTGACAATTTGATCATTTCTACGTCTGCAATAGATAAAATGTTCTGAAGCATTTTCCAGCCTCTTTATCCCCCCAGTTCATTTTCTGTTCTTGACAATTGTGTTCTGCTGTGTTATTTGTGTATGTGTGAATGCATTCTGACTTATTTTAGACTAATGGGAGTATGGGTGCAGTTATCATTTCTCTCTGGGTGTGTAATGTCTATTTTAAGTAGTGTTCTGTGTTCTTATGTTCCTCTCCTGGCCCGCATGTGTGCTTGTGTCGGGGTGCAGATGAGTCGCCCCCATGAGTCGCTCCTACGGCTGGCAGAGAGGAACAGAGAAGGAGTCTGTTTAGTGCTCATGCTAATCCTCAGGAGTGACTCAACAGCCAGTAAAAGCCAAGTCGATATCTGCACGAACAGCTTGTAACACTCCAAAGAGAAAGGAAAACTTGAAATCGCATCATATGACCCCTTTAAAGTTAATAATATATATATCTTTCTTTTTACACTAAAAGCCCAATACTGTACAGTACATATTCAGATCTGACTCATTTCAAAACACACGGATCAATGTACACACTTTTTTATATATGAACATACACTATAGGACTGAAAAGTATTTAAAAGTATAGAAAGTGGTCAGCGCCAATAGCCTTGTGGTTAGTGCGTCGACACATAGTACAACTGCGCTCACGGTGACCCAAGTTCGATTCCCGTCTCAAGGTCCTTTGCCAATCCCGCTCCCCTCTCCTCCCAGTGCTTTCCTGTCATCTCTCTACTGTTGTATCTTGTTAAAAAAAGGCATAAAAAAAATAATAACTAAAAGTATAGAAAGTGATAGTTCACCCAAAAACAAAAAAACATTCTGTCACCCTAGTGCCATTTTGGAGAGTATCCGCTGGACGTAAACAGTGTACGTTGTTCTGTGTCAGTCACACCACACGGCTGACACAGAACAACATACGCTGTTTGCGTTCAGTGGATACTCTCCAAAATGGCGCTAGGGTGACGCAGAGGAGACGAATTGTTGAATGAAGTTGTTTTTTTCTTTTGTGCACAAAAAGTATTTTCGTAGCTTTGTATAATTGCAGATGAACCCCTGATGTCACATGGATTATTTTACAGATCTCCTTGCTACATTCCTGGACGTTGTTCGTGGTAGTACCCTTGCTGTCTATGGGAGGGTCAGAGAGCTGTCAGATTCCATCAAAAATATCTTAATTTGTGTTCCGAAGATGAACGGAGGTCTTACAGGTTTGGAACAACATGAGGTTGAGTAATTAATGACAGAATTTTTGGGTGAACTAACCCTTTAAAGGTTTGGGGTCCCTTTAAGCTCTTGACCAGACCATCGGTTAAGACTCTAATTTTCCATCCTGTCAACACACAAGTGCACCACTCTCTCATTACAATATCACTTTATTCTCGAACAGTCATAGTTAATCCAAAAATGAAAATAGAAAAAATTATTTGTCCATACACTGAAACTCAATGAGGTCTAATGTTGTTTTGGACCACAGTGACTTTCAAAAAAATAAAACATCTTTTGTGTTCTGCAAAAAGTCAGTCATACAGTTTTGGAATGACATGAGGGTGAGTACATGGATTTTCTTTTTTTGGGTGAACTATTCCTAACTAAAACTATTCTGTTTTACATCAGTTATCTATAAATATAGTCTTTTTATCTATGAATGTGAACTCCCACTCTATATTTCCAAACCAGCATCTGAACAACTTCATAAGTTCTAAATGACTAGTTTTTCTACTCTTAAACCACTTTTGCTTCTCTCTTTCTCCAGTCTTCCAGTAAAATATATATTTTTTTTATTGAGATGGCCTGTTCTGGACTCTCTCTTCCATATTTGGAAAGCTGCTCTATTTCCAGTGGGTCACTTTAACACCACTAGCCAATACAGCACAGAGCCTCCGATCCCCCAGCCAATCCTGCATCCCCCCGTCTCCTTATAAGGACTGCACATAGTCAATAGTGTTTGTCTTTGCTCTGGACTTCTTGGCCACACTATGCTGCTCTATCATTCTAAAGTAAACTGGCTAAATTGGTCAAAAACAAAGCTAATGTTTTTACTCTACAAGTTAACTATGATACATTTGTTAGCCTTTTTTCATGCTGGGGTTATTAAAATGTGCATTTTATATTATAACCACATATAAGCATCAGCAATATCTACTTTCAGACCATAAATTAACACTTGTTTTGAAAGAATGTATTAAAATGATCTAAAGTGACACTAAAGAAGTTTATACTGTTACAAAAGATTTATATTTCAAATAAATGTTGTTCTTTTGAACTTTTTTTTCATCAAAGTATACTGAAAAAGAAAAAAAAAATCAGTAACACGGTTTCCATAAAAATATTAAGCAGTACAACGGTTTTCAACATTGATAACAATAAGAAATGTTTCTTGAGCAGCAAATCAGCATATTAGAATGATTTCTGAAGGATCATGTGACCCTGAAGACTGGAGTAGTGATGCTGAAAATTCAGCTTTGCTGAATCATCACAAGAATAAATGATACTTTAAACATATTTAATAAAATTTATGAATAAATTAATAATATTTCAAAATATTACAGTTTTTACTGTATTTTTGATCAAATAAATACAGCCTTGATAAGCATAAG